TGTTGGAGGTGGAGGTGGTGGAGGTGATGGTGGTGGTGATGGTGGTGTTGGAGGTGGAGGTGGTGGAGGTGATGGTGGTGGTGATGGTGGTGTTGCAGGTGGATGTGCTGGTAGTAGTGATGGTGATGTTGGAAGTGGTGGTGGTGATAAGATAGTAATATGCGAAGTAGTGGTGGGGTGTTGATGGGGATGACGACTGCTGGTCACAGTAGTGGTCACTATGATGAGGAGGAGGAAGAGAAGGAAGAGGACAGGAGGGGCTTGGCACCCTACACAGCTGGAGGCCTCAAGAAGTAAGTGGGATGCACGCTTACCCCAACCCAGTACGCAGAGCTTGAGCAGGTATCGGCGGATGTAGACGTTGTAGACACGCACGAGCAGAAGGTAAAGGTTGAAGCCTTCGATGGCCATCCAGGTGAGGCAGCATAGCAGTGCATAGTGTAGGATGGCAGCCAGCACCATGCATGCTGACCCAGGCACAGAGGGCTTGGCCAGCACGGGGCTCAGCAGGAAGGTAACATTCAGGAGCAGCACAGAGGCGTGCAGGTTTATATGGCTATGTACCATGAAGTCACTCTTCTTCCTGTGGGTGAGCATGGCCCTCCATGGCCTGGGGACAGACCTAGTAGGGCCATCCCCTGGGCTCATAGGCACACAATAGCAGGGAAACTGAGGCCAAGGCGGGGCAGGGACTCAACAGCAGCCACGCAGCAAGATAGGTCTCCTGCTTCCCGGCCCCTGCTTCTGGAGAAGCCCAACCTGCTCTGGGGACCAAGTGGAAAAGAATGGGAGGTGCTGAGCAGCAGTACGGGAGATAGGCCAGCGCCATGGCAGAGGAATACCTGGACTGCAAGTGCAGCAGGATGGTGAGCAGCGAGGCCACGATGGAGATGCTGCAGCCCACGAGGGAGATGTACGTGAGAGGAGGCAGCAACTCTGCAGGGATCGGGGCTGGGGAGATTTGCTGCAGGAGGCAAAGTGGGGTGGAGGCCAGGAGAATCATGGAAACCCTTCCCCAGGCTCAATCAGAGGGACCTCCCAAGACCTCAGCTCTAAGCTCCCCTTCCCCATAACAAGGCCATGGCAGACATGGTGGCTTTTGCCTACCCAGCCCCCATCTCCCCTTCCTCTATGAGATACTCCACTTTCTGGGGGAGCTCCCTTCCTCCACTCTATGCATGTGGGTGGCCCCATCACTTCTCCTACTGTGTGCAGGCCTGTGCACCAGGCCTGGTCCTCCTTCCTCCTGCCCACAGTGATGGGTTCAGGGATGGACACATGACATGTGCTAGGCTGGTGGGCTCAATCTGGCAGAATTGGGAAAGGGAAGCTCTCATTTCACCAGCCTGAAACCTAGTAGGATGAGACTGGAACTGCCAGCAGCCATATTATCACCCCATGGGGAGATCCTGCTTGATAGTGAAGCCAGCACAGCAAGCACAGCTGAGGGACAAAGACAGAGTACTGGGCAATATTGACTGAGCCCCTGGATCAAGCCATGCCTGAAGCTTGACCTAGCCTTTTCAGGAACATGAGCCCGTAAGTTTTCTTTTTCGCTTAAGCCATTTGAGTTGAATTTTCTGTCTCTTGCACCAGCCTTTCCCTTGCTCCTCTGCCCTGGATGTGGGGTCCTCTGCAGCTCTGATACCCCCTCATTCAAGCTGGACACACACATACCATAAGAACAGCAAAGTAGCTGAGGTGGTTGCAGCGGCAGAGCACCTGATCAGGTGAGGGCTGTTCTGTGAGGCAGCCCTCGGAGCTCCAGGCCCCCGAGCTGTTCTTGCTGGCTCCCTCCTTCCAGAAGACACAGGTCAGTGTGTGGCCTTCCTGAAGAGAGAAGCTGGGGTCAGTCAAAAGGGTGCAGGGGAGGGACAGTGGATCAGGGCCCAGGACTTGTGGGGGCCAAAGATGGCCAAGGCCTGCTCAATCCATACATTCCATCCCCCTGGCCTCAGGGACTAGATCAGGAATGGACATGTGACTCAGCTGGATATTTAGAACTCCATTCTGGGACCCTGGTTTGGTAAGGAAGAGCCTGCTGGGAAGTGGGGAAGGAAACCTGGCGCTGCAGTAGCCATCTTGCCACAGAGTGGAAAGCCAAAGCAGGAAAGCATTGCTAAGAGATGGAAAGAGATTAGCCATGATGACATTGTATCAGTCCCTGGATCCAGCCATGCCTGAAGCTAGACAACTTCAAGCTGGACACTTCAGTTAGTTGAGTCAATAAATTACCTTCTGGACTTAAGCTGCCTTGAATTGGTTTTCTACCACTTGCAACTGGAAGAATCCTGACTAATGCTGTGTGTAAAAGCTTCTCTCTCAGTGTGGATGGAGATTATTTCTTAGGCAGGAATATTCAAAGTGTGATGGATTTAAAAATCTTTAAAATCTTTCAGTGATTGTAAGTTTGTTTCCAAGGTGGCTTCACAGATTTGGGCTTGGTCAAATCAGTATTCTACGGGACAGCCTCAGAGGGGCAGAAGTGGGGTGAGAATGGGGACACCGCCAATGGTACCAGGCTTTGGTTGTGCCAGAAGCTGATGTTGATTGGCTCACTGAGGTTGTTCACACGGTCATGGCCCAGCTGGGCCCCCAGGACACGGTTATTGAGTAGAGGTGAGTTGGTGTCATCCTGGAAGGGCAGTGGAAAGAAGGGCTGACTGAAAGGGACACAGGGAGACCCTGGATGAGGTCTGAGACCCTTCCCAAGCACCTCCTTCTGGGATGAGAACACGCAGCATGCCTCTCATGTGTACAGCATGGACCAGCCTCCAGGCCTTCGCATATGCTGTTCCCACCACCTGGAAAGCTGCCCTCTCAGGATCCCCTGCTCCACCTCCCAATTGTTTAATACAGTCCAGCCTTGCACCCACCACCTCACCACCATCCTAACTCACTTTAAAAGCCAAGGTGAAAAGCCACCTTCTCCAGAAGCCCTCTTGGACTGCATATCGGTAACAACCTCAACCACATCCTGACTTGTCCACCATTTTGCATTTCTATGGCTATAATCAACCTTGAGCTAAAACTAAGTCTCTAAGGTCTATCTCTATTGAGCTAGAGAGCTCTCTAAGGGCAGGGACCTTGTCACCTTCTTGTCTGCCTTATTTGCAGATTGTAATCATGCTAACCAAACGGTAGGCAGTTCGAATCCCCCAGCTGCTCCTTGGAAACCCTATGGGGCAGTTCTCCTCTGCCATAAAGGGTCACTGTGAGTCGGAATCGACTCAGTGGCAATGGGGTGGGCAATCATGCCACCTAACCAGTGGCTGGCCCAGGCTGGCCCCCCACCCAGAGGTCAGGCAGTAGCATGGATGCCTGCACTGCCCCCAGGCCCCACCATGGGTGCTGACCTGGAAAAAGAAGGAGGTGTAGAAGTAGACACAGATGAGACGCAGCTCCTTGCGGCGGGTCTGGCAGGCCTTCCGGGTCAGCTCGGCTGGGAACTGCATCCTGTGGGGGGCCCAGGCCTAGGGAGGGCCAAGGACAGGCTGAGCCTGGCCTTCAAGGTCTCCTGACCTGGCCTCACCTTCTCAGCCCCGACTCCCTATGGAGCTTTCCGGCCTTGCCTTGAACACTTCCTGCCCCGGAACCTCCGCCTGCAAAACCCTCTCCTCCCAGGCTGCACCTCCTCCAGAACTGCCTACATCCCAGGCCTGCCTTCCATGCTGCTTGGGTCTTGAATGTGGGCCATTTACCCAACATGAGGAAAGCCTGGTGGTGTACTGGTTAAGAGCTACGGCTGCTAACCGAAAGGTCAGTAGTTTGATCCACCAGGCGCTCCTTGGAAACTCTATGGGGCAGTTCTACTCTGTCGTTTACGGCCACTATGAGTGGGAATCGACTCGATGGCAATGGGTTTCTTTTTTTAACCCCACATGAAGGGCCCCGCCACGGTGTCTCTGCACCCCAGGGTCCCGCACGGGTTAGCCATCCAGCAGGCACCACACACGGGTACTCAGAGGGGCCGGGACTCCCTGGCCAGCCCACTGCTGCCTCCCCAAAGGCCCTGCCCTCAACCCGAAACTGCCTTTGAGGGCAGTCTGTTCACATGCAGAATCTCAGCCCCATTTTACAGAGGAGGCCACTCACAGCTAGTCTAGGCAGAGCCTGGATTCCAGGGGTAAGGGCAGAGCCTGGGTAAAGTCCAGAGTTTAACCCCCTGGAGGATTTCTGGGGCTGGAGGCAGCTGACCATCCCACATCCTCGGCCTCCTCTGACCTGAGGGTCCTGCTCCAGAGCGGCACTGCTCAGCAAGAGGCCAGTGAAGTCACAGCTCAGCTTGAAGGCCAGAGCCTGGATGGTGGCCAGACGCGTCCGCTCGGTCATGTTGCTGCCCTCAAAGGTGGTGTTCAGCAGGTTCCACTCCAGGTCGTGGATACAGTTGAGGGTAGGGGTGCTGGTTAGAGACAGCAGAGTTCAAAATGGGGAGTAGAGGCGAGAGAGGGCTCTAGACAGCCTGGGAGAGGGGTGGCACCCTACACCCCTATCACTCCCAACCTCTGCACACGAAGTTCCCTCCACCTAGCAGACCCTGACCCCCCATCCCCTTCTTCCAGTAAACTCTGTCAGGTCCCAGTTTGTCCTTACCTGCTCCTCGAAGCCTTCGCTGACTGCTCCCCCAATCCCTACCTCCCCACTGAGTGAAATGCTTCCCCAGCTGAAGTTCTTCACTCTGATCAGGCATTAGAGTTGCTCAGCCTTTGAATCACAGACCCGGGAGAACCCAGCCGGAGTCTTGGGGCTCCTTCCCAGAAAAAGGCACAGAGATGCACGTTCTGCATGCCTTCCCCTTCCCAGAAGATAAGCTCTGTGAGCGCAGGGGCACATCCATCTTGCATTGCCAGAGCCTAGCACCAGGCACACAGTAGATACGCAAAAAATGCATGTTGAATAAATGAACTGGTTAATTGTCTACACTGGACCCATCCTAGACCATTGATTCAAGGTGCAGGCTGGGGTGGGAGGCAGGGCTGACTCTGAGTGGGCAGGGAGGGACACCCAACTCACTCATGAGGAGGAGATCCACTCCGTCCCTTGCGTTTGGCCAGGTTCTCCATTCGCTCCATCAAACTCCGGAGTTCCTGTGAAGTCTCTGCTGGGAGCGAAAGTCAGACTTCCACCTCAGCCTCCATCCTCAGCTGCCCCAGCCCCACGGCCTCTTGACTCCTAGTTCACCGATGCTCCTGCCCCTCAGGAGGTCTACATAGCCCCCTTTCCATCTTCTTTGATTTGAGGCTTCCACCTTTCACATCGCAGCCATGGGGCTGAGCTAGGACTGTCCCTCAGTTAAGTGGGGCCCCTTACCGGCTGTCCAGCTCTGAAAAGTCACGAGGCAGAGGCAGAAGAGAAGGGCTGCACAGTGATCCATGCCCTGTGCCGGGATCTCCTCCAAGAACTGGCTCCTGCCCGAGAAAAAGTGCATGCCATCATCATTATGGTAAAAGAGCAACCTCTACATTGAGTTTATGTTAATGGTCATGGAATGGTTTGGAAAAGGATAGCAAAAATGGTTGCAAAACTTGAAGAATGTAATCAATGTCACTGAATTGTACATGTGGAAATGGCTGAGATGTGTGTTTTGTTATGTATATTTTCAACATAATATTTAAAAAAAAAAGAAAGAAAGATCGACCTTTAATTTCCAGCCATCTGGCATGTCAGAGGGTAGGACTTGCAGCATCTTATTTGATCCTCACTACACCTACACTGCACAGATGAGGAAACTGAGGCTCAGTTCTCTGTGACTCCAGAATCCTTGGCCACCAAGCAATGTCTGCCATTAGCAGCTCTGCCTGAAATACCTGCCCGCCCTCCAAACATGGTCTTTCCGGAGCCTTCCCCGGGTCCTGGCCTCACCCAGGAGGAGGTTGCTTGGGAGTAAACAGCTTGTAACCCTGTCCAGCCCTATCATTAACTCACTGTGTGACTTTGGGCAAGGATCTGTCCCTCTCTGACCTCACTTTCCTCAATTTTAAAATGAACGAATAAACTTCTGCTTAAATACAGTAAATTCATGTCTAGCCACTGAAACATCACTAAAATGAAAGTGAATGAATAAAATAGGCACAAAACCACAAAGACAGAAAAATGGGAAGGGAAACAACAGCAGATGGGGCAACTGAATAGCCTTGTGCGACAACAACCAGAAAAAGAACTTGGAGCCATACTTTGCAGCATATACAAAATTTAACTCCAAATGGATCATAGATCCGACCATCAAAACCTAAAACTATAAAACTTCCGAAAGAAAACAAAGGAGAAAATCTTTCTGACCTTGGGTTAGGAAAGAATTCTTAGAAACAACACCAAAAACATGATCCATAAAAGAAAAAATTAATAAATTGGGTTTCATCAAAATTAAAAACTTCTGCTCTTTGGAGGTCACCGTTAAGAGCATGAGAAGAAAAGCCACAGACTGGGAGGAAATAATTGCAAATATATAAAGTGAAAACTGTGAGAGCCGGAACTCGATGGGACTTCCTGTTTTTCTGGGTTTTACAAGTTTTCCGCCTTTAACAGGGTGCAGCCTTACCACTTTTCGGTTGCTTGCTATTAGTAGAAAATATTTGAGGTTTCCTTCTCTGGCAGTTTCCACCTTACACAGGTTCCAACTTTTGCAGGTTTAACTGTATCTGATAAAGGACTTGTATCTAGACTATATAAAGAACCCTTAGAATTCAATAAGACAAACAATCCAATAAAAAATGGGAAACGATTTAAATAGTCACTGCACTGAAGCAGATACACAGATCACACCTAAACACATGAAGAGATGCTCAATATCATTAGTCATTAGGGAAATGCAGTAAAAGTCTCAATAAGAGATGACAACACACCTGGAATGGTTAAAATCAGAAAAATTGACAATACCAAGTGTTGTTGAGGATATTGAGCAGCTAAACCCTCATACATTGCTGAAAAGGATGTCGATGGGACAGCCACTTTGAAAACAGTTGTCAGTTTCTCCTTCTAAAGCTAAACATACACTTAAACATACATATGATACCAGCAATCCAACTTTTAGTTATTTACCCAAGAAAAATGAAAACATAGGTCCACACAAACACTGGTATGCAAACCTTCAAAGCAGCTTTATTCACAATAGCCAAAAACTAGAAACTATACAAATGTCCACTAACTGATGAAAGATTGAAAACAAAAAACCTGTAGTATATCCATATAATGAAATACTATTAAGCAATAAAAAGGAATGAATTGCTGATATAGGCAACATAGATGAATCTCGAAGTCATTATGCTACAGTGAAAGAAGCCAGACAAAAGAGACTGCATGCCTTATGACTCCACTTACACCCCCATCTGGGTGGTGCAAATGGTTAACGCACTCAGCTGCTTCAGCTGCTAAAGGTTGGAGGTTTAAATCCATCCAGAAGCACCTTAGAAGAAAAGTCTGGCAATCTTCTTTCACAAAATCAGCCAAGGAAAACCCCATGGAGCACAGTTGTACTCTGACACCCATGAGATCACCATGAGTCGGAATCAACCCTACGGTAACTGGTATACAGCCATTTAGAAAAGACAAAACTAAGTATAGAGTCGGAGAACAGATCAGAAGTCAACAGGAGGTAGGGAAAAGATACTACCTGCAAAACGGCAGGAGCTAATTTTTCAGGGTGATAGACGTGTTCTATATCTTGATTTTGATATATATGTATACACGACTGTACATATTTGTCAAAACGCATCAAACCACTCTTAAGAAGGGTGAATTGTGTTATATGAAATTATACTTCTATAAACTTGGCTTTAGAAAATCAAACGAAAAAACATATTGAGAAGAATGAGAAGGGGAAATGGAAAGGGGAAGGGAAAGCAAGAGAACTATTTTTCTCCATGTTGTGCGGGGAAAAAGTCACAAAAAATTTACAGGGATTCAAGAAGGGAGAACCGCAAAATTCAAAACACCTGTTTGATGATAGTGGCAGAGGGAAGTAGCTAGAAGCATGAGCTTTAATTTTTCCACCAGTGGATTTGCAAAGATTTGAAATATAATAGCACCCAGAATTGGCAAGAGTATGCAGACACTGGCAAACTCCTCCACTCCTCAGGGCAGTGTCTGTGATGCATTGATGTATGTCCCCCCAAAATATGTGTTGTTACTATGCCTGTGGTCATAATCCCATTTGGGAATGAATTGTCTTTGTTATGTTAATGAGGCAGGATTAGAGTAGGGTGTATCTTGAGTCAATCGCTTTTTTTTTTTCTTTAACTTTTTCAAGATTTTTTTTTTTTTAATGTACTTTAGGTGAAGGTTTACAGAACAAATAATTTCTCATTGAACAGTCAGTACACATATTGTTTTATGACATTGGTTAACAACCCCACGACAGGTCAACACTCTCCCTTCTCAACCTTTTTTTTTTTTTTTTGTGAAAATATACATAGCCAAAGATACACCATTTCAAAAGTTTCTACATGCACAATTCACTGACATCAACTATGTTCTTCCAGTTGTGCTGCTATTCTCACCTTAGATGAAGGTTTACAGAACAAAATAGTTTCTCATTAAACAGTACACATGTTGCCCCATGACAATGGTTAACAACCCCACTACATGTCAACACTGTCCTTACTCAACCTTGGGTTCCCTATCACCAGCTTTCCTGTCCTCTTCTGCCTTGTAGTCCTTATCCCTGGACTGCTGTGCCTCATTAGTCCCGTTTTGTTATAGTGGGCTGTCCAATCCCCGGCTGAACAGTGAACCTCGGAAGTGGCTTCACCACTGAGCTAAAAGTGTGTCTGGGGGCCATACTCCCAGGGTTTCTCCAGTCTCTTTCAGGCCAGTAAATCTTGTCTTTCTTGTGTGTGTTAGAATTTTGTTCCACATCCTTCTCCAGCTCTGTCCAGAAACCTTTGTTGTGATCCTGGTCAGAGCAGTCAGTGGTGGTAGCCGGGCACCATCTAGCTATACTGGACTCAGTCTGGTGGAGGCCTTGGTAGCTGTAGTCCATTAGTCTTTTGGACTAATCTTTTCCTTGTATCCTGTTCTCTTCATTCTCCCTTGCTCCCGAAGGGGTGAGAGCAGTGGAGTATCTTAGATGGCTGCTCGCACGCTTTTAAGACCTCAGATGCTACTCACCAAGGTAGAATGTAGAACATTTTCTTTATAAACTATGTTATGCCAATTGAGCTAGATGTTCACCGAGACCATGGTCCCCACAGCCTTCTGCCCAGCAATCTGGTCTCTCAGGGAGTTTGGAAGTGTCTAATGGAGCTTCTATGACCTTACCTTGGACAAGTTGTGCTGGCTTCCCCAGTATTGTGTACTGTCTTACCTTTCACCAAAGTTACCACTTATCTATTTCTATTTGGTATTTAGTATATTATTATATATTATTATTATATATTATTTAGTTTTTGTATGTGGTTTGAGGTATGGGGAGTCAATCTCTTTTGAGATATAAAAGAGATTAAACAAGAAAACAGAAGAGAGAAGGGGTAAAATAGATGCCAAGACACGTGGAGATCTCCAAGGAACCAGGAAGCAGAAGCAGAAGAGACAAGGACCTTCCTCCAGAGCCGACAGAGAGACAAAGCCCTTCCCTAGAGATGGCACTCTGAATTTGGACTTCTAGCCTCTAAAACTGGTATAAATTTCTGTTTGTTAAAGCCACTCACTTGTAGTATTTCTGTAATAGCAGCACTAGATAACTAAGACACTTTCCAAGGGGATTGCTTGGCAATACATACAAACTTTACATTCTGAATATCCTTTGACTCAAGAAATTCACTTTTTGCAAGACAGAATGGGAGAAAAATGTAGAATATAATTCAAATTCACAAAAAAAGACCAGACTTACTAGTCTGACAGAGACAAGCGGAACCCCTGAGACTATGGCCCCTAGACATTCGGGTAACCCAGAACTGAAACTATTCTCAAAGCCTACTTTTCAGGCAAAGATTAGACAGACCTATAAAACAAAAAGTAACATACATGACCAACATGCTTCTTAGTGCAATCAAATATAGGAGACCAAATGAGCAGTTCCTGTGCAAAAGCAAGACAAGAAAGTAGGAAGGGACAGGAACTGGACAAATGGACACAGGGAACCCACGGTGGAAAGGGGGAGTGTGCTGTCACATTGTGGCGATTGCAACCAACGTCACAAAACAATATGTATATAAATTTTTGAATGAAAAATTAGCTTGAACTGTAAACTTTCACCTAAAGCACAATAAAATTAAAAATAAAATACAAAAAAGAAACTCACACAGTACACAATACAGGGGAAACTAGCACAACTTATACAAGGAAAGGTCATGGAAGCCCCATAAACACATCCAAACTCCCTGAGGGACTGAATTGCTGGGTGGAGGGCTGTTGGTCTCCGCGAACATCTAGCTCAATTGGCATAACACAGCTTATAAAGACAATGCTCTACATTCTACCTTGGTGAGTAGTGTCTGGGGTCTTAAAAGATATATGTTGTTGTTGCTGTTATGTGCCATCAAGTTGATTCTGACTCATAATGACCCTATAGGACAGAGAAAAACTGCCCTATAGGGTTTCCAAGGAGCAGCTGGTGGATTTGAACTGTTGACCTTTTGGTTAGCAGCTGAGCTCTTAACTACTGTGGCACCAGGGCTCCATATATATATGTGTATAATTTTCCCATTTTGTACAAAAAGCATACCTTGCATGCTGTTCTGCACTTGGCTATTTTTCACTTGAAAATACATCCTGGAATGCCCTTTATCACCACTCCTATTTAACATTGTGCTGGAAGTCCTAGCTAGAGCAAGAAGGCAAGAAAAAGAAATAAAGGGCAACCAAATTGGTAAGGAAGAAGTTAAACTGTCCCCTGTTTGAGGATGATATGATACTATACATAGAAAACCCTAAAGACTCCACAAGGAAACTACTGAAACTAATAGAAAGATTCAGCAGAGTAGCAGGATACAAGATAAACATACAAAAATCAGTTGGATTCCTATACACCAATAAAGAGAACGACCAGAAGGAAGTCAAGAAAATAATACCATTTACAGTAGCCCCTAAAAAAATAAAATACTTAGGAATAAATCGTAGCAGGGATGTGAAAGACCGATACGAAGAAAACTACAAAACACTACTGCAAGAAACCAAAAGAGACCTACATAAATGGAAAAACATACCATGCTCATGGATAGGTAGACTCAACATTGTGAAAATGACAATTCTACCCAAAGCAAT